AAAATAATATATTAAAACAAGTCAAACGTATGTACAAATATTCGCTACACAGTTAATTAGCACAGTTGTATCTTGAGCTTTAAACAATTCTCTTTTCATCAATGTCCACACAGGCTGGTTGTTATTTTAGAACACATTGACAAGACGAATTATTCTTCTCTACTCCGTTATTACAATACAATCGGTGATAATTTCATTTACGTCACATCAATATATATATACTAGCCATGTATAAAATTCGGGCATTTACAAAATCCAGTCCATGCACCATTCCAGTATAGTTCAGTAGTCTCTCCAACCCAGTATTTACAGACTCCCCATATAGATACAGGGTATAAATATAGTAGCTATATATATAACATGTGCCACTATCAATAATAACACTGTGGCAATGATATCAGAAGTAATAGCCATCTAATATGCATGAATCCAATCCAAAGGTTGTCATTGTTTCCCGAGAGAGCATCATACACCAACAACATATTCCTTTAAAACTAAACAGTTTCAAATAGGACAGCATTGCTGTTATACAGATTTATGTTCATGATGGACATAAAAAAATAAAGGAACAAGATTATTAAAAATTGTTAATTTAAAATGGGGAATACACATCTTCAAAAAATTACAGAAAGAAGATAGGGAGTTTAAAGTGAAAATGCAATCGCAAAAAGTAAACAAACAAGGTTAAGGTTTGAAACATAGTGTTGACATTATTTACTCAAGCTACAAATCCCTATTTTGACTCCATCGTCTAAAAGCTGTAATATTTAGGAGAGTCAACATAAAGATTTGTAGCTTGAGGAAATAATGTCAACAATATGTTTCAAACCTTATGTGCCCCCTAGTGGTACAGCGGTATGTCTGCGGACTTACAACGCTAGAATCCGGGTTTCGATACCCGTGGTGGGCAGAGCACAGATAGCTCATTGTGTAGCTTTGTGCTTAATTACAAACAAACAAACCTTATGCTTGTTTGTTTACGTTTTTTGCGATTTCATTTTCACTTTAAGCTACCTGTTTTGTTTCTGTAATTGTTTTAAAGATCTGTATTCCTGCTATTTAAATTGAGAATTTTTAATAATTTTGTATGTATTAATCTTTGCAACATAATGCTTTGGTGAGGGTACCCGCAATTCTAAAGTTCCCCCCACCCCCTCTCGCTGATAATAGGCACGACCAAATACTAGCTTTTACAGAGAAGCTC